TCGCGGCAGAAGGAGCCCCAACTCCCAGGCTCGTCCAGCTCCGCTCCTTGCTAGGGTACCCCGCAGGCCTTGTCCTTCCCAGGCCCCCTCAGCGCGGTGACTGCACCGCAGGGAGAGAGGCGCGGCTTGGGAAGGGTTAACGCGTCCGCTCCCACCCACAGCCCAAAGCAGGGCCAGCCTTTGCGGGTCGCAGGACACCCCTGCCCAGCTCTCCATCACCTTCACCTCTCTCCCTTCTCCGTTCAGTCTCCAGAAAGGCCAGCCGCTCCCGGCCTAACAGAGCTCGCCAAGCTCATTGAGGAAACAGTTGTGACACCTTCAACAGGGAAGGAACTGAGGCACAGGGAGCCACGATAAAGGTCCCAGTTTGAAAATACAGCAAGAATAAGCAGGAGTGGAACTCATATCTGACTCCAGAACAGGCACTTGGATTTACGAAGCCATTTGACCAGAGGATGAAGGCAACAGTGGGTGGGGGCATAGCCCAGTGATAGAGCACCAGGGTCCTGGGTTTGATCCCAAGCTTCACAGGAGAAAAAAAAAACAAAAACCATAATAGCAAGAAACATGTACTGAGGTCTTGCTCTGTGCCTGATACCATGTTCCCTGTATTTTAATTCATCTTCAAAATCCTTAGGATTTTTGCAGATGAACAAACTGAGGCCCAGAGAGGGGAAGTGACATGTCCAAGGTCACACAGATGGTGGGGCAGCCACTACTCACTTTCAGCTTTCCACAGAATAGCAGAAACACAGTGGAGTTTGGTGCATCCACCAAACTGAACACTCTCCACTACACGAACAGCACCCCAGGCCAGCCTGCCTTCCTAATGCATCCTCTGTCCAGGTCTTTGGAGAAGGGGGTCATTTAATTAATTAATACCTTTCCTAGTCTTAGAACCAGGACTGAGGGCCAGGAGGGTGGAGATGTGCCTGATGTCAGCCCCACTTAGATTTCATGGCTGCAACCTAGCAGTGCCCTAGAGCGAAACTCAGGGGTCAGGCAAGGTGTCAGGAGGCTGTTGTCACAGTGATGCTGTAGGGCAAATCGCCCCACACTCAGGGTTTCACAACATGAAGGATTTGTTTAGCCATCCAGTGTGAGTTCAGTGATTTAGGCTGGTCCCGGCTGGACAGTTTTTCTGGCCTCTGCTGGGTGCACTTTGGTGTTGAGATCCCCGTGGGAAACTGTACTTGGTCTCGGCTGCAGACTGGGGCCTTAGACCTGGTCTAGCCCTGGTGTGTTTTCCCGTGGGCACCATCGAGCGCACGCAGAAACATGTGCAATCGATTCAGTCCAAACCCCAGAACTGGCACCCGTCGCCTCCGCCCAATTCTCCTGGGCAATCCAGTCACACAGTCACGTCTGGTCACACACGGGCCTTTTCCTTTCTAGCAACCACAGAACCCTGAAGAATAAATGGCAGAGGGGTGGCCACATGGGTGAAGAATTGGGTTTAACACCATCATTTTATCACAGTACCCACATTTGAATCCTAGCTATTTACTAGTTGTAAAACTCAGGCAGGTGAATAATCCCTCTGTGCCTCAGTTTCCTCCTCTGTAAAATGGGCCTAATAATAATGGGTTGCTAGGGAATTAAATTTGCAAGAATAAAATAAGAGAATGCATATAAAACTCTAAAAGAAGAACAAGTAGTCAATACATGTTCACTACTGTTATTATTATTGCCTTATCGAGTTCTATTGATATGTTATTGTTTTAATAACAATAACAATGACAAGCTGCTATGCCTCTACCTTGTGCCAGGTGCTAAATTGGGCTTTACCATAGTTATGTGAAGTGGCTAAGGTGAACATTTAAAAAAAATATATATATTTTTTGGCTTTTTGAGACAGGGTCTCACTATGTAGTTGAGACTGACCTGGAACTTACTATGTAGCCCAGGCTGGTCTCAAACTCACAGCAATCCTCCTGCCTCAGCCTGAGTGCTGGGATTACAGGCATGCACCACCATGCCTGGCTTAAAAATATTTTTTGGCAAATACTGAAGATTGCTAGACAAGTGTTCTACCACTGAGTTACACCTCTTGCCTTTCTAATGTTTTGAGCCTGGGTCTCAGTAAGTTGCCCAGGCTGGGCTCAAACTTAGGACCTTCCTGTCTCAGCCTCCTAAGAAGTTAGGATTGCAGGTGAGCACAACCACATCTTGCTATTATCATAATTACGTCCACTTGAAAGACGGAAAAGCTGAGGGTGAGAGAGGGCACAGGACTTGCAGCCAGTCACTGTTAGAAGTGAGTCCTCCGAGCTCAGGCTCAACTTGCTGCTACCACCGCTAGTTCCAGCCCTAACTTGCTGCTCCCCGTTCCCAGGCCTCACCTTCCCAATGGCGCAGGTTCCGGGGGAAGTGGACAACATGGAGGGCCTGCCTGCCTCCAACAACAACAACCCCACGGCACGCTGGGAGAGTCCCGACCGGGGCTGGGAGCGGGAGCCGCCAGCTGCCTCTTCCGCAGCTGCGTCCCTCTTCGAATGCTCCCGGATCAAGGCCTTGGCAGGTACCTGGGCGGGCAGAGAGGGTGGGAGGGATGGGGTAGCCAGGGTGGCCTTGGTGCCTTCACCTCTGTGGGTGGAAGGGTGAAGAGACTTCCGGGCTCTTAGCTCTTAAATCTGTGGAATCCCATGAACATGGAAGTGTTCTGTAGTTCTGCTGGCCCACATAGTATCCACTGGTGTATGTGGCTACCGAGTGCCTGAAATGTGGCCTGCAATACTTGACACTCGAGGGACTGAGGGGACTCTTACATTTTACTTAGTTTATTTATTTAGTTAGTTTTTTTTGTTTTTGTTTTGGTACCAGGGAATGAATTTGCAAGGCACGCGGTGGAACCACTGAGCTAAATCCCCGGCCCTAGTTAGTTTTTTTGAGACAAGGTCTTGCTACATAGTTCAGGTTGGCCTTGAACTCACTATGTAGCCCAGGCTGGCTTCCAACTTATGGCAATCCTCCTGCCTCAGCCTCCTGAGTGCTGGGATTACAGGCGTGTGCCACCAAACCTGGCAAATTTTATTTTGTTTTAGTGAATTTAAATGTCAATAACCACATGGAACTCATGGCTGCTGTGTGGGGTAGCACAATTTTAGTGCAATCCCAGAAACATGAGCTGTTGCGAGCATACTCCTTTAGGATCCCAAAATGTAGAACAGCTAGATTGTAGGATTTTGGAGTGTTATAAATGTCAGAGACTCTTTAAAACTTAGGCCTTTAGAAATAGGGACTCTTGAAAATACTGAACTTTATAGTCAGTGACCTTAGAAATTTTAATCATTGCCCCCAAGGCTCTTTCCCCCCACCTTTTATGGGGAATTGAACTCAGGATCTTTCACTTGCTGGGCAGGTACAGTGCCACTGAGCTACATTCTGTGCCCCCAAGGATCTTATATCCTGAGA